AGCAGCGGAGCTTTTATTATGCCACAGTCGACCGCTTCCGCTCCTTCCGGTCGTGCGTATGTGGGGTAAAGCAGCGCTGTTTTATCATACTACATACATTTAGATCTGTTATAATGCTACTCTGTGCGCTCGTCACCGGTCTATTAAAACACACAACATATTAAAGCGTCTTTGGTGTTTCCATGTTTTCTACAAAACAAAACCGGAAATCGAGGGGTTAAGACGTCTTTAGCAGGCGACACAATGACACTATAGACACGCTCCGTGCCACTAGTTAAAATTGCTTATTTCTCTGGATTTAAAGCTCTTCTGATTCTGATTCTGATTTAAACATTCTTCGAAACATTTGGGATAATGTAAGTACATAAGTCAGCAAAATATATAACACTGTTCTAGTGGTTTTTGGATATTTTAATAAAAAAATCTTACATATTGTGCCTTTAAATAATGTTTTGTGGGTAATTTCACAGCCAAATTTAATTAATCGACACAATGTAATTAATTAGATTATTAGCCCTAATTCTGATAAAATGGTGATTTTATTTCTTGCCCACCTTCCTCATGAAGAACTTCTCTTTGAGCCGGTACTCGGCGGCGCTGGCTCCCGGCAGACGCGGCTGGCCGTGGTTGGACTTGCAGCAGATCATGAGGCCGTCAAACAGGAAGATGTAGCGCTCGTGTTTGGCGCCGACCCGCGTGAGCGTCCCCTCCATGATGAACTCGTTGCAGCACTGGCCGATGTCTTTGCCCTCCCAGCCGTCGATGTTCCTCTGGATCTCATTCATCTTCTTGATGGCCAAATGTTTGCCCTTCATCTGCTGACTGTAGAAGCGGCACGCCGACTCGCTGAGAGACACGACACGACAGACAACCATCAGGAGACAAAGCCAGAAAAACAGGGATGGGCTGACTATACATTGACGATTCAATCATTTTGATGAGCTGATACCGAGTCTGAAATCCTAAGATTGATATTTTAGTCAATGCTTTTTTCAGTTGATTCCTCTAAACTTTATTTGTGGTGCCTGTAATAATCACAATAAGTTACTTTTGTTAAGAAACAAAGTCTCAGATTTCAAATTCTGTCAGTATCATCACTAAGTTCACTCACTAAATGTGTTTTTGTGGCTCTTTAACGCGTGCTGTTGCTGATCATCTCTTCCTCTTTACTACTAGTTATAGCAACAAATAAACATGAATGAACATCAGAATCCGAACAACTTACTGATCAATCATGAATCATGTAATCAATCAATCAGTGATTCAACCACAGAAAGACTTCAATAAAACAGCTTGAGATCAATAATGTCATGTAACATCACATTTAAAGACTTTCAATTTAAAAACCATAAACTCGATATTCAGCTAGAAAAATAACTCCACAGAGGAGCATTTTGATAAATATATGCACGATATTAAATATTCATTATACAGTCAGGTCCATATATATTTGGACAAAGGCAGAATTTTTATTATTTTAGCTGCTGACCAAAACATATTCAAGTTACAGTTATATAATGAATCTGGGCTTAAAGTGCACACTCTGAGCTTGAATTTGAGGGTATTCTCTTCACAATTGGAGGAAAGGTTAAAGAATTGCAGCTCTTTAATATGTACCTCCCCCCTTTTTCAAGGGACCAGAAGTAATTGGGCAATTGACTCGAAAGCTGTTTCATGGACAGATGTGGGCTATTCCTTCATTATCTCTACATCAATTAAGCAGGTACAAGTTCTGGACATCCACGGAGGACAACAGTGGTGATGATCGGAGAATCCTGATTCGCTTCATAGTACAAATGAACAATGACCCAAAACATACAGCAAAAGCAACCCAGGAGTTTAGAAGACCCCTGAAGACCAAACTAAAGGCAGAAAGAGCCACAAACACACAACAACTGAAGTCAGCTGCAGTAAAGGCCTGGCAAAGCATCACAAAGGAGAAACCCAGTCTCTGCTGATGTCCATGAGCTCCAGACTAAAGGCAGTCATCACCTGCAAAGGATTCTCAACAAAATATTAAAAATTAACATTTTATTTATGATTACATTTATTTGTCCAATTACATTTGATCCCCTGAAAATGGGGGGAAATGTGTATAAAAATAGATGCAATTCCTAAACATTTTAGGTTATATTTTTGTTCAACCCTTGAATTAAAGCTTAAAGTCTGCACTTCAATTTCATCTTGATTGTTTCATTTTAATTCTATTCTGGTGGCATACAGAGCCAAAATTATGAAAATTGTGTCAGTGTCCAAATATAATGGACCTGACTGTATTTTTACTCAACCTGTTAATCAGGTTTTCATTGTTTAATTGTATGTTTGAATAAATCTGTTTTTAGTAGTTTTTATTACATGCACTATTTAAATGTTTATATTTTAACAAAAAATTGGAGTAGAAACATAATTTTGTTATTAAAAGTTGACTTAAAGTTGCAATTAAAATGTTTTTACTTGAGTGTTGATTATTATATTGAAAAAAACAATTTAATAGTTTGGA